AGGGGAAGAGGGACAGTGAGAAGAAGGAGGGGAAGAGGGAGAGTAGTGTGGAGAGTTTGGGGAAGAGGGAGAGTATTGGGAAGAAGAGGGAAAGTATTGGGGAAAAGAGGGAAAGTATTCTGGAGAGTTGGGGGAAGATGGAGAGTATTGGGGAGAAGAGGGAGAGTATTCTGGAGAGTTGGGAGAAAGAGTACTGGGGAAGGAGGGGAAGAGAGAGAGTAATGTGGAGAATTTGGGGAAGGAGGACGAGAAGAGGGAGACTAATGTGCAGAGTTTGGGGAAGAGGGAGAGTAGTGTGGAGAGTTTTGGGAAGATGGGATTTCAGAGGACTTCCTTTTTCTTTGTTTCTGCCTTCTTATTTGTCTCTGCCCAGTAGATCTCATTTCCATCCTTTTTTTCGAGTTTGGTCTCTCTAGAAAATCTCCCATGTCCTTTTCTTTTCTCACAATTTGCACAATATAATGCAAGGAGTAAATCAAAGTGAAATTAAACAGATTGAGGTCTAAGAAATTAAATAATTAATAAAATAGTAAAATAAGGAAAATTTGGGAAAATATAGAAAAAGTAGGAAATACTAGAAACAAATATAACTCTTGAAACAATAAAAAATAAATACTCAATAACAGTATTTGTAAAGAACACATAAATACTCATTAATAATATAATAACTCAATTTCAATTTTTCTTTATTTTCTTATGTTTTCTGATTTTATTTAGGATTCACTTTTAAGCCATTGCAAATTACAACATTAAAAGCTAAAACTATATAAGTATACAAAAGAAAACCGAAGAATAAAAAGAAAAACAGAAAGTTTTTCTCTATCTCTTCCTTTTTTTTATTTTCGTTCTTTGTTCTTAAATTTTATTTTATTTTTTCTGTTTTTTTAGATTTTCTACTTTCTCTCTTCTGCATTTTCGATTTCCCATTCCAAAAATTGAAAACAGAAAAGTAGAAAAACAAAAAAAATGCCCCATATGAATTTCACTTTGTTGTTTTGCATTTTCATTTTTTTTGCTGGTTTATTAATGTCCTTTACAAAACATAAACTAAAACAGAAATTGCAATTTCAATTTTCTCCTTATTTCATTGTTTGGATTTTATTTAGGATTCATCGTCTAAGCCCTTATAAATTTCAATATCAAAAGTTAAAACTAATATATTAAAAAAAACCAAAAAGATAGGGTTTGTTCAAATTTTCATATTTTCGGGTAGTAATTTGAGGGGTTTTAACAAATTGTAAAACCCTTCTTTAATAACCTAAAATCGAAGCCCAAAAGAAAAAAAAAAAAAAACAATACAAAACAATAAAACCCTAATTCTTGATCTAAACCTAAATTGGAAACGAATGTTTCCTTATTTTCCTATTTTCTAAACCTAAAGCACTAAATTTTAAATACTACTGAATATTTAACCAAAAAACTCACCTGAGACTGTTGAAGCTGGCCGCCGGAACCCGTAGAAACTTGCTGGAGGAGCTTCTGGCTTTTCTTGATTTTTGAATCTTGAGAAAAGAGAGAGGAACGACAAAACCTCCTTTTCTCTCTCTTATTTAAATAGAAAAGTTTTCCATTATTAAAAGGTGAAAACGTAATCTCGTCCCTTGGGAGTATACTGTTTATATACTCCTTCAATTAAAATTTAGTTTTAGGACCTCAGAGTTTGGAATATAACCTCTTCAACCTATAGATTAACCTCATTCCTAATTGATCCCTACAACACTTAAAACAAAGTACCATCTCAAGATTAAATGTGAACCATCCAATTTTTAAAAAGGAAGATCTAAGCGATGTTTATGACTCATCCGTCTAGTGATGTTTATGTCGATCACATTGTTTCTTTATTTTAAATTGAAAATATCCTTCCAAATAGATCATCTATCCTTTGAATTACAAATAAACTATGCTCCCAGAAAAACATAATATATGTGCTCTATTAAAAGTTAAAGCGATCTAAAATTTCCAATTACTCTCCTTTATATTTCTTTTTCTGGTGAATTCACGTAAACGGTTAAATTAAAATTTTGATATACCCTTTTCACAAATGTTATTTAAATTTTAGTGTTATTTTTTTTTTACATCTATACCCATTTTTCACCCGTTATTACAATAATACCTCACGATTTTTAATGACTAAATTGCTCACTTTCTATTGTTAAACATCTGATAATTTGCATTTTAGCATCCCCAATATTTTTAAAAATTAATTTATTTGAGAAATTAAATTTTTTAGATTTTGAAATTTTTATTTTAATATCTCAATAATTTTTAATTTTAAAAATAAAAAATTAAAATACTGAATTTTTGGATTTTAAAAGTCCAAAAGTTACATTTTTAGCATCACTGATCATTTTTGGATTTCAAAACTCTGAGATTTAATTTACATTAAATTTTCAAATTTTCATAATCCAAAAATTACAATTTCATGTATTTCCTTAAATGCAATTATTTTCTCGTAGACCTCCCCAATCGATTCTTTTTTTTTTTTTTGAGGATGTAGTTTATGTGAGGCCTAGGCTCTTCACCATCACAGTACAGCGCGCTTTCAAATAGTGTTGAAAGATGTTGTTTCAATACTAAAAATCTTTGTGATGGCCTAAAAATCATTTTCATATCTAATTAATAAATTTAAACTTAAAAAAAATAGTGTAGATCGAGCAGATCTATGAACACTCAAAAATCTTGAAAATTAACGTTCTAAAAATACATTACAAGATCACCATTTCCATTGCTTGAATTTATTTTTTTGATATGTTCATAAATCTTCAGGTTGAGATGATCAATTTGGCGAATTTTGAGCATTAAAACAAACTCTTGTAATGAATTTTTGAAGTACGCCCTAAATTTGATTGTTCAGAGCCTTGCAATTATATATATATATCTGTGTGTGTGTGTGTGTGGAAAAGTATGGGATTGGCCGCCTCGCTCATATAGTTCAGCTGCACCCAACGGAACTGATTTAATTTTCCTAATCCGATGGCCATGATGCGATACCGCCGAATGAGGTGTGAAAAGTTTAAAAATTCGACAAAATCAGCATCGTACAAAAGGGCACTGACAAAGGTAGGCTCCCTCTGAAGCGTCTCTCTCTTCACACTCTCTCTGTATATTCTCTCTCCTCAGCCAAAAATGACCCAAATCTCTCTCCTCTGACTGCTTTGAAACTTCCCTCACCTCTCACTGCACAAAATGAAGCTCATCTCTCCTCTCGCTACTTTCTTTTGAAGTTTCTCTCTCCCACACAAGGCATCCACAAATCCCACACAAGGCATCCACAGATCTCACATAGAAGGGTTCCCCCCGTCAAGGTATGGGCTCTCTCTATCTCTCAGGTGCTTTTATTTCCATCCCTCCATTTGGTTTTTACTCTCGAGTTACACCAAAACCCCCAAATCCCCAAATGTGGAAAACCCAATCTGAACAAAAAATGATATAAAAAAATCGGGGCAAAAAATCTCCCAAATACAAAGCAATTTTAGAGCAATTTTGCCTCAGATTTTGTGCTTGTTTCGTCAATATCCCAAATACAGAGCAAACCCTTGGGGGCTTCTATTTACATCTCTCCCTCTGGTTTTCACTCCCCCAAATCCCCAAATGAGGAAAACCCAATCTGAGCAAAACTTGCTATAAATAAATCTAGGCAAAAAAATGTCCCAATTACAAAGCAATTTTACAGCAAGTTTAACTGGTTTCTTGGATATCCCAAATACAGAGCAAAACCTCGAGGGCTTCTATTTCCATCTCCCCCTCTGGTTTTCACTTTCCCAAATCCCCAAATGAGGAAAATCCAATCTAAGCAAAAATTGCTATAAATAAATCTGGGCAAAAAATATCTCAAATACAAAGCAATTTTATAGCAATTTTTGCTCAGATTTTGTATACAACTCATAGGAGCCGATATAGTCTCCAAGCTAAGGCAGCTTTTGAAGTTATTGACTATTTGCTTGCATTTCTCAAAAAAGCCATTTTTGCTATTTTTGGAGGAACTTCCTGTGAACCTTTTGGTCGCACTTTAAAATTTAAGAGAATTCCTAAAAAAATTTGTCATGGACATTCCATTGTCATGTGAGAAGGTTTAAAACTTGTTTGAATCTCTTTTCTTGTCCAATTTATTGCTGATTCTTGCATTGGTTGTTTAATGAAATGGAAATATTTGTTTAATGTTGGTTGGTAAATTTTTATTATTATCACCACGTGCAGGAATTGCAGGTTTCTCTTTAACAATGAAATTAAAATGGAAAAAAGTTTGGGAAATTGATAGGTTTCTCTTTAACATTGAAATTAAAATGGGAAAACCCAATCTGAGCAAAAATTGCTATAAATAAAGCTGGGCCAAAAATGTCTCAAATATCGATTGTTCTTAAGAAAGATCTAATTAAGAAACCTATCAATTCCTGCGAGTGGTGATAATAAAAATTTACCAGCCCATCATTAAACAAATATTTCCATTTCATTAAACAACCAATGCAAGAATCAGCATCAAATCGGACAAGAAAAGAGATCCAAACAAGTTTTAAACCTTCTCACATGACAATGGAATGTCCATGACAAATTTTTTTGAGGAATTCTCTTAAATTTTAAAGTACGACCAAAAGGTTCCTAGGAAGTTCCTCTAAAAATAGCAGAAATGACTTCTTTGATAAATACAAACAAAGCGTCAATAACTTCAAAAGCTGCCTTAGCTCAGAGACTATATCAGCTCCTGTGAGTTGTATGCAAAATCTGAGCAAAAATTAATATAAAATTGCTTTGTAGTTGAGACATTGTTTGTCCAGATTTATTTAGAGTAATTTTACCTCAGAAATGGGCTTTCCTTATTTGGGATTTAGAGGAGTGAAAACCAGAGGGAGAGATGGAAATAGAAGCCCCCGAGGTTTTGCTCTGTATTTGGTATATATAAGAAAAATATGGGATTGGTATAACCGAGCACATAGGAAAAATATGCTCGGTTATACCAATTCCTATTTTTCCTATGTGCTCGGTTATTGAAACAGATGCCTCTGTGCTCAGTTATGTTGGAATCTTAAAACAAAGATTTCAGCCAATTAAAAAGGAAAAATTAGTGAGATATGCCTCAAGAATTTGGAACCTAGCACAACAAAATTATTCAACCACTAAAAAAGAAATTCTTTCAATTGTCAAATGTATTACAAAATTTGAAAGTGACATTTTAAACCAAGAATTTCTGATAAGAGTAGATTGCAAAGCTGCCAAATATATTTTAGATAAAGATGTTAAAAACATCACATCCAAACAAAATTTGGCCAATGGCAAGCCATTCTTTCCTCATTTGATTTTACTACAGAATATATAAATGGAGAGTCTAACTCCCTGCCTGACTTCTTAACCCGTGAGTTCTTACAGGGACACTCGAAGGAAAATAGAGGCTAATACATCTAATAGCAGAAATCAGAATAGATCTTCTTCTTACAATCAGGATCCCAGTGAAAGGCTAAAAGCCCAAATACTAAGCCCATAACACCATATATTGAAAAGGCGTTAATACCTATAATAGTCATTGAAAATAAGCACGCTCTAAAAGAGCCTAATTAGGTAGCTGATCTTTATCTTATAGATAATATGCATCCTAAAACATGATACAAAACCGGAGAATATTATGAAAGAATATTGACTGAATCAGAGTCAATAAGAATTTTCCACTTTAATAAGAACAGTAAAATTATTGGCTATTCAAAATTTCAAATCTTAAATATCATCACATATGAAGAATGGGGCTTTGATCCCCTGAAACATAAATATCTTGCAGAAACCCTAAAAATCAAGGCTTGCAATTATTATGACTACATAAAAGCTTAGGATGTAGTCTTGCTATTTCAAAATCCTCAAAGGACCCATAGTTGGTTTTTACAATTCCGACTAAGCACTAAAATAACTACATTTCCACAATGGTTTAAAAGATGGATATTGTACTGTGGACCTACTCCAGACATCTATCTAGAAAATCCAAAAGAATCATATGAGCTCTTTCAAGCCTCTAATAGAAGAATAAATCAAGTAGACATATGTATGTATTTTACAATAATATATGATATCCCTTTACTTATTTAGAAATTTTTTTTTAAATCTTTTAGATTTTTTCCTGTATGCTTTAATAGATCATTTCTTATCGAGAATTGTGGGGTTTTGTCTTTATAGATTCAAACCAAATTCTTCGCAAAAATTACCTAACTCTTTTCTTCTTGTTAGGTTTTGTTTTTTTAATTGTTTTTTTAGTTTTAGGTTTTGTGCATATTTCTAGGCCTGTGGCACAAACTTCAACAGACAATTCTCCTAGAGTATAATATATTTTGCCTAATTGTTTTATGAATATGTATGGAGTGTATGGACATTAAGTGATAAGTGCTAACAAATTTGAAA